CTTGAAAGGAGTAGATACTGTTAAATTCCCCTCTGGGGGATTGTTAATTTATTATTCTTATTAGCCATATATGGAGGTGCTTATCTTCTTATACCCTTGCCAGCAACTGCATATTGTCATTCTTTTTCAATTGTGACAAGATAATTGGTGAGAATAGCTCAATTTTTTTAATTTAGGTAATATGCCCAACATTTATATAAGACAAAATAATTTTGTTGACAAATGGCTTATCTGTTAAATGAGAAAATGTTTATATTCTTCAGTTATATTTAAGTCCGTTTCCAAAGAATGCTTAATATAGAGAAGAAATGACATAGAGGGTAAGAATTAAAATAGAAAATTTAATAGTGACCAGAATAGAAGAAATGTGTCACTAATAGTAGGGAATTGCACTGCCATTGCAAAGGTACATGATTCGAATTCACCACCTGCTCTTGGAGAGAAAGATAAGCAGTCTCCTCCTGTGCAATTTACGCCTCTGAAAACTGACTGGAGGGTCAGCTACAGGTTGATTCTCACTTGAGTGCAAAACAACAATAACAAAACACTAAAATACTATAAAATTGAAGGCAATTTCCAAAGCATTCCATAAATAATGTAAGTGACAGTGTGGTCAAAATCATTATATCACTTCCAAGAATTACTTTATGAAAAAAGAAATTTGATAGTGTTTGTTAACTACACAGTAATATCTGGGTCTTCTCAAGTCATCCTCTGTGACAGTTGTAGAGAAAATTAGTGTATTGGAAATTGAAAGTTAAAAAATTATTCATTATGAAGATCAAAGAAGCACAGATATTAAAAATAAGAAGATTTAGTGACATGGAACTCGAAAAAGAAACATCTATCTTATCTTTAGCCAATTCCTGAAGAAAGTGGGAAAAAAAATAGCTATTTATGAGATAATAGCCAGAAACATTGCACAATTGAAGGAGGACACCAAACCAGAAGCTGAACAAACAACTCTAAGGAGGAATCCTCCCTTGACATATTCTAGTGAACACGGCAAATATAAAGAGATTTTTTAGAACATGGAGGCCGGGGAGCAGGAAGAGGAGTGAAGGGGAAGACCTTCAAAGAAAATGGTAGCCATTTTGTTATCAGTAACAGTTTCAATCAGGAGATGATTAAAATTAACAGCCTAGCACTTAATAACTGAACCACCAGGGCTTCCTATCCAATCCAGTAATAGATATCTACCAAAAAACCCTACAACAAATGTAGTACTTAACCATGAAAGGTTGAAAATTTCTTGAAGTTCAAGAATAAGACAAGAATGATTGTTGTATTTTTTTTTATTTTTTCATTTATTCACTGTTGCACGTTTTCCTTTCATACCCCACCCCCTCAATTCACTAGTTTGTTTTTTATATTGGGTTGCACACAAAATTCATATACATCATGTTTCACTCTTTTCTTCATTTATTCATTCATTTCATACTATCATTCCCATGCATTATGATTTTATTAAATCAATCACCTTTGGACTTTACCCATCATTATCCAATTTTTTTCAGGTTCGTGCTGAATCCTTCCCATTTCCTT